CTGTGGTTGAGTCTTTTGTGCCACCCACCACGAGGCTAACAGCTCCAAAGCTTTGACATTGAATGTCATGGCTTTGCTGGATGGGACTCCTATTGACTCATTGGTTGGCCAAGAAGAGATCTGGCCATTCTTTCGGGCACGGACACGAATGGATGAGTCCGCTTCCCAACTCACAGCCAAATCATGTGTAGATTCGCCGTCCATGATCCACAAAGCCAGGAGTAAGGAGAGCACTAAGGAGAGCTTTCAAAAGTCTTGACCCAAAGGGCTTCCAAGGGAACAGAACATTGTGTCAAAAGTCCAACAATCGAAAATCAAAAAGTTAATCTCCAATCATTAAATCTGACAATCCGGCCTTGCAGAATAAAGTCATCCGCTTTGGCCGACATTCCCAGGACCAGGTGTCCAGAGTGGAGTTCAATCTCTTTAACTCCAGCTTCATTTGTGAACTACATTGTGACATCACCAAGTGACTGAGATTTGATCCAATCGTTTTGTGTGTGAACACAAAATGAAATTGGCAGCACAAGCACGATAGAGCCACCCAATGCTGGGACACAGGTCAAAAATTCACATCCACCCCTGGATAGATGCATGATTTCCTCCAACATCACCAAAAACATCCAAAAACCAAGAATCGCTCGAAAGCGATATTTTTATGATTCTCAGCGAAAAAGCAGTTCTTCTTGAAAAGACGTAAATTTCAACCATGTTGGATGTCGTAGGTATAATGGGATCATCCCCTGTGATAGGAGATGAACAAACCTCAAAAGCCGCTCGGACCATCTCCCAAAGTACGTAAATCCCAGAGGTTCCTACCCAGGAGAAGTGAATGACCTTCAAGAGCTTTTTGGGAGGATGAGTTTCCCCACCAACTCATGAACAGACGCTAGGCCGCTAGGTTCGCCTTTTTGGGTCCCGTGATGGTAACGGTTTGGGAGTCGCATGTTGGTGTGAAGAATCAACTTGACATGTTTACACGAGGAACTGAGGAACCGGTCGGGGCCCCCCGGTCGGTCTATGGTTATAAGATGTTAAAAGCGTGGGTTGCTGTACCTATATAGTATAGTGCTGTACCTACTACTGCAGTACTGGTTTACCTGGATTGATTGGGTATCACTGGGTGCTTACTGTTTGTGAAAGACAGGAGTCCAGGAATGAGACTGACTTCGTTTGAAGTCCTGCACACAGCGTTTTCTACACCGATCGACCTGCCTAGCACCAGGTGGCTGGGCTTGCTTCGATGAGTTCAACCGCATTGACGCGGAGGCGAGGAGAACGCACATCGGGCGGAGGAGTTCTTCGGTGGGTACGTGTACTTGTGGCATCTTGTGGCTTCTCTTGCGGCGAACGTAGCGAACGCAGCATGGAATTGCCGCGAAATCCAGCAAGCACCGTTCTCAAATCCGGCACCGTACATTGTACAGTTCACCTTCAACGCGCCCTTCACAGCCTGCCACATAGTTCACCTAACAGGTCCTGAGTGTCATCGCGCAGCAGATTCTGCAGATCCAGAATGCCATCAAGGCCGGTTCTCGGCGCATGGTCCACGGCTTCCCCCCCGCGGCGTGGAGCGGTTGACATGGGAGGGGGGCTCAAAGCGCCTTTTTTGCATGAGCTATATGGGGCTGGGCATATAGGTGTACCCAAGGGATCCGGTCATACCTTCTCAGGTGATTGGAGACACTGAGGCATGTAGGTGCCAGGAGGGTCTATGGATACATACTTTTGGGATGGTTGCGTTCAGGGGTCCTTGTTGACTGTAGGCAGAATCTTCAAGTGTGTTTGAGTCGTTTGAGTCTTTTATATTCATACTCAGTCCGTGGATAACCTGCAACATCCTTTAACCTTTTTTGGGGGAGAGGTTTGGTGGTTTTCCCACTGAAACAAGAACACGTAGAAAAAGGTTCACCTTGATTTTTCCAGGGAAACTCAACGAGTCGAGTCAGTATTCTTTGTGCAGCAATTTCTAAGCTTGTGATCCTCTTTGAAGAATTGCCACACTACTAGAATCTTCTAGACATCACCATGGCCATACTTTTGATACCTTGTAAATTCTTTTGTTGATGGATTTTCCCGCTTGCTGGTTAGGTGCTTTGGTTGGTGTGCCGGTTTGCTGCAACAACAGGAGTCGTAAGTGAGACTCCCCGAAGTTCCTCAATAAACTTTGCTTCTTTCAGGGTCGAAGGGGCCTGGTTCATTTGTGCAACATGTGCTTGACCATTGTTCTCAGCTGAAAAATCAGCTGAAAAATACAAAGAAAGCTGAAAAATCAGCTAACTCAAGGCGAACTTTGTAGCTGATTGAGTTGCTCTTTTTGTGGAAGTTCCCAGTCCCCGACCACTCCATTGGAGCCACCCGGGAGGCCCGGCTCACTTGCTTTGAGTTCGAGGGTACGGCCAACTTGCCTTTGAAGTGGTCACCTGGCAGAGTTTGGACTGAGCCAAGAAAGCTAGGCATGCATAGGCGCATATTTGCAGAAGGCAGGTCTGAAAATATGCGGGGAGATGCCTCATGTGACTTGATACAGTATAGACAGGTTGATGAGCACATGCTGTCACTTGACTCCAAGAATCTCCAAGAAGTTGTTTAGGAGGAGGTGGACGATTGCTGCGATAAGCCCGCTTCACTGAAGAAGCCACTGCCACTGCCATGCCAACCGGCATGTTTGGAGATCAGACACAAAGCCTCATACTGCATCCAACTACCGCTGTTTGGTAGTTAACTTCCAATTGCCATGCAAAACCTGAGCTCCAGGACTACCAGATATGAGTTCTTGGTGGGTGTTTGCCTTCTACAGCGATCCCACCCCTCTGGAAGACTGCGAGCTCCGCTCCTCGCGCGTCACGCGCACGCGCCAAGGACTTGTAACTGCTTCATCACGATGAACCCGGGCTATGCGGGCCGAGCGGAGCTGCCAGACAACTTGAAGGCAGCTTGAAAGCCACCCAAAAGACGAACTGAAAATTGACCTCTCATCCGGTACGCAGACACTCCATGTATGGCATATGAGGCATATGTATGTGTATTACTATTACAATTTATAGTTTATAATGTATATATAAATATAATGTATATAAAATCATATGTGCATGCATTCACCCCAGGACAACCACACCAATGTAAATATATGCCATGCAGTATGCCAGTCCCATTTGTCGTGTTTGGGGTCGCCTTCGGCGGCAGTGAAGATCATTCGTGAGTCGACGTCGGGATCATTTCTTGGCTGGTGGTGATGCGCCCACATTGGTACCGTACTCAGACTCGGTGACCTAGCGGTACCTAACAGCCCCCTGTTGGCAGCTACTCGCGGGTTACCTAACAATACCGAAGGGATTGGAAGAAGAGTCGGGTTGTAGATGACATGTGCAAATTTTGCTTTAGGCGGCTGTTGCACCTGTTGTACGTCAATTGTTTTGTTTATGTCCAACCTTCACGTTTTCGACCAGTACCATTCCTTTCAGCGTCACCAGACTAGATCAAGATCTCCACTCAATATTCTCGACACAACTCAAGACATGTTTTAATTTAGTGAATTATGTTGACATCAGTTGTTTTTGTGTTACACGTTGGATGACGGTCCGGTTGGATGACGTACATCTGCAGGCCTTGTTCCGCACTGTGGCCATGATGGTTCCGGACTACGTGACTTGGGGTCAAGACGTTGGACGTTGGTGGTCTTACCCAGGTGGTCTTACTGGGGGAAGATGAGATAGGGAAATCATGGGCATGGCCTGCACGCAACGCAGATGAGATAGGATTCAAAAGTAGCCCAAAAATGGATCGAGGACATGAGACCGTGGTTTTCTACAACTTCTTTGGAACTAACTCAAATTGAGTTCTGTTCACAATTCCCTACATCTGGGAGCGGTCATTCAGACAGGGCATCGCGCTTGGGTTTTCCTCATCGGTTTTCAGTGTATGCTCAATGTAAGACCTACCGACAAACAGCTTTTGGTTCCGACGTTTTAGGATGGATCTCATTCGCCCAAAGGCTCAGACTTTACCTTCACAAACTCCTGAGATAGGCCCTCATGAGATAGGACCTTAGAGTTAGAGTCCTTTTGGGCCTCCTTCATGTGCTTTGGACACATGAGATGCAGTTTTTTTGGTCCAAAACGGTACTGTCAGATTGCAGTTGCGGACACATGAGATAGGCAAACGCATTTCTGCATGTATGTGTCATTTGCGGGTAGTATAAGGTGGATCATGGATCAGCGGCAAAAAACCTCCTCTTTGTGAGGATTGGCTTGGTTTCCCCATGTTTCCCCACACAACAGGAACCGGTGGAAAAGGTCACTGCACCCTTCCACGGAAGCTGAGGGAGTCAGTTGGCACGTCGCTGCGGCGGTACATCGAAAGCTGTGCACAGCAAGATGTGAAACAAGTGGAACTTGTGAACATACCTCACATACCTGGACCTTCAAATGGTGTCCAATGGAGATCCCTTAGTGGTGGGCTGGGGCTTCCAGCTTCCGGTGGCGAAGGTGCTGGTACGAGTTGCTAGTCGCTTGGAGGCCGTCGCTCTTAGGTTGGTGCTTTTCAGGTGATGCGGCGCCGGTTTCCAGGTGCTATTAGTATCGGAGGAGGTTTCTTGACTCGGCCGAGTGGCTCAAATCTGAGGCCATGATCGCAGAAATTAAGCTCTACTCCTACGGCTATGCGGAAGCCCGCAGTTTGGCGCAGAAGATTGTGACCACCTACAAGCTGCTTGCAATGAGAAAGTATGAGAAAGTCATGGGTGCACATCCAGCCCAGGCATGCCTAGGGCCTAACCCGGTACCTGATCGACATTGATCGATCTTTCAACGCTTTTGGGGACAGGTTCCTCTACAAAATCAATTTTGTGTATGATTGTTCCAAGGGAAGCTCTCAGCAAGTATCTCCAATATTTGTCAAATCCTCCATTGAGAATCAGTAGTAGTTGTGATTGCATGTGTCAGTGTGTTAGTAGTAATTTGTCAGCTGACAGCTATACACTCCCGAAAACTAACATAGACCCTGACAATGGCCCCCTGGAAGAGTCTTTTCCTCTACCAACCAGTGGTCCATGTTAGTCTTCCAGGGTGTATACCTTCTTTTTCCGATTGCAGTGTGGATAGGTCCACGGGAAGAAGGTCAGTGGCGACTGGATTTGAAGGAGCTCAAGGCTCAAGCTCATGAATGTAGGGGGTCATGTTTGGACCTCAGATCTTGGATTCACCCCCAAAGGGGCCGCAGCTTCTTGACATTCTTCTCCACTCAGGACACCGGACCAATGGATTAAGGAAGGGGTCCCTTGTTTTGAGCTAGCTCCCACTAGTTTGAGCATTCGAATGAGTTTGAGACCGTTGTCCCATACAATCCAAGCCCAGAGTCAAGTCAGCCAAGTCCCTAGTTAATCAGATTATATCAGATTGTTTAGTTCAAGAGGTACTCCATCATTCCAAGCATTGTGAGGTCCGATGAAAGCGCTTCATGCGCTTGGAGTTTTTGTTGATGACTCCCCTGGTCTGAGATCTCCCCGTCGGCCGGCCGCGTCACCGGATCGGATCGGATGGGTGTATAGTTGTTGTTTTTCTCTCCATGGGATGTAGGGGGTGCTCCTTGGATGAAGCGGGGTGCTCCTTGGGATGAAGCGGGGTTCTCACGGAATTTCTCACGACATGTCCCCCATCCTGCAACTGTTTGTAAGGATCACTGGTGTCTCCAACCACCTCCTCAGCTAAGAGTGTCACCCATCTACCACACCCATCTACCACGCACGCCAACACCTTCCAAGCTGTTGATAAACTTCAGAAGAGTTAAATATCATTGGATGGAGGGTAGATGGCATACGTTACCCCAAGTCGGGTGGTTCGGACGCACATGTGCTGATGAGAAACCGCCAGTCGACTCTGAAGCGTCAATGATCCATCATACATGTAAGTCGCTTGTTCAATCTGCATGGAAGGTTTGGGACATTGGGGAATGCATGTCCTAGGGCTCCAGTCGTGCCTTCGTTTCGGTTCGGTGGGACTGGGGGCCCGGGTGCCAGGGTCGAAATACCTTTTGAGGAGGTACGACTGGTGCCCAAACGGGTGTTGCTGTCGGATGGCACCCCTAGTGATTGGAGGATCGCATTGAATGCTGAGGCTGTGCAGTGAACAGCTGTCTTCGCAGAAGCACTACGTTTCTTGGTCTGACAAGCCCAGAGCATCACCCAAGTGCTGAGATGTGTGACATTGTTGTCTTTCTCAATGTCTTATGAAGTGTTTTGAGGGGATGGTTCTTTGCTATAGCGTTTGTACCGGAAGCCTAGTCCCTGAAAAGATGGTGAGAGAATCTCATAGAGAAGGGGTTCTCTCAGTTCGTTCTTCATTGAGTTCTCACAGGTTGTGTTGAAGTGTTCTTTCATGGGAGTGGTTCGTGAATCTGCCATGGGGAAACACCGCTTCAAGCAGCACCGAGACCCACAGAAGCTTGCGAAATGAGAAAGCTGATGACAAATGTGCAGGCTTTGACCTACCTAGTGGGCCATGTTTTAGATTTCAATGTTTGCGAGACTGATCGTCGGCTCTCTAACCACATACGTTGACATGCATACGTTCGGTGAGATCGTTGTTTCATCAGGGTGATGCAAGGTGATGCAAGGGCCCTTCAATTGGCGTGCGAGTACGCCAGGAGGCTTATCACCATGTTGCACCAAGGGCTTAGGTTGCAAGGATATGCAAGGACATGGGATGGGGAGCAAGTGATTTCATCTGGCAGTCATGCCACGAAAAACGCAGCCATGCCACGTACTGGCACACACACACACACCCCTGGACTGGACCGCTCTACGTCAGGACCGATGAAATGAAACCATCCGACCCCCCCGCCAATCATCGCAGTGGACAAAGGGGGGAGGGAGCCCGAACTCGAAGTGATCACGGGACTTCCGCAGGCCAGCCTGGGTGAACTCTCGGCTTCGTCGTCGACGAACAGATCATGATCGACGACGAACAGATCAGAACAAACACGACTAATGGGACTGCCATGACGGACTGCCGAGAAACGGCCAGGGGTGGTGCCAGGGGGTTCAATGTAGGCATAGGTGTTTGGGTCAGAACAAAGAGAAGGCGAAAGCGGGTGACTCAAAGTGAAGTCCATAATCAAAGGCAAACGGAAGGGTAGTGCACAGAAAGGGTTTTGCAAGAACCTATTCTACTAACGTCGTGGAAGGCGCGTGACCTTCGTAGAACCCAAGGCTGTTCGTGGACAGTTCGTGGAATGGTGGGCCAGTAGGAGAACTGACTGCAACGAAATCCCAGAAACCTTCGCAGAACTTCGTGGAAGGTATTTTTGATGCACTAACTTCGTATAAGCGATTTTGGCTGACCCCCTTTCTCCACACACCCTCCGTTTAGCCTTCACATAAGCATGCCAAGGACTACGGCATGCGTGCGGTCTTCTCTGTGCTGGTGGCCGCCGGCAATCTGAAACGCGGACCGCTTGAAGAGACCCTGAAGGATTCACATCAGTGTGAGCAGTGTGACCCCCAAGTAGATAGTGCCACGGTTTCCAATACATGTTCGACGTGGGGATCTACGAACTTCGAAATCTCTATTTGGGGGTCTAATCTGTGATTCGTAAATAAAATAAGTGGGCGTCCAAGTCCACGGAAGAGTGATACCTGCTTCGGCAATCGCAAAGGCACGATCCAAGAGATCTCGAAAGCTGTTTCTGATTTGCTGGGGAAGGATGAGCCGATGAGCGTAGCATGCATCGCCTACCATTGACAAATCTAGACTATTTTTTTTTTTGCGGATGGCGGGGCTCAGTGGTCCAACGATTTGATCCACCATCGAGAAGGGTTCTCTCACATAGTGAGTCAGGTCACCCTTCCTCAGAAGAACTTGCATATTCATAGGGCGTTCTGCAGGAAACATGGTTTAGATCCTTCCCACACAACCACTTGCCGTTTCTATGGGTCGCCAAATGCCAAATGTTCTACCCACCACCAGTGTCAATGTTTTGTGACAAATTGACCCCCTTATGATGCTAAAGTTTCGCTATGCTTCAATCTGTAATAGTGCGCTAAGGATCAATTATGTAGAACATTGCCCAGTTGGCTTTAAACATGGACGTGTCAGATGAATTGTTGATACAGGAGCATGAGGAACATGTTATAGTCTTGCTTGTAAGCTTTGGAAGTTTGAAGGATCCGTGTTTCATGTCGATCTAATTTTCTATGTCATCACAAGTAAGGGTACTTTCTGCCGAAACATGGAAGTGACAAAAAGGGCCGTGCTTCTTATCCCAGCTCGGTGTCTTCAGATACCCTGCCACCCCCTCCACACTGGTCCCCCTTCCAGACAGTCATTGAAGCTGTCCTTTTCCGACCTAACCATCATGACTCATTCACCACAGTTCGAGAACACCGAGATCATCTCGCGACCCCGTTTTCCGTGGCTTATTTCCCCCGTTAGTGACCGTTTTCCGGTCACTTCTTGCCGGATGCGATGAATTTGGGGGGCGCTGGCTGAGGCAAATATCCCAAGGAGGCGGAAGAGATCTTAATGCTTCGCTCCATTTGCGATGTGAACTTAGCCAAGTTCTTAGCCTTCGACGTCCCACTGTGCCTTGCCGATGCCTGAAGCCTGCGTCGTGTGGGCCGGGTCGGTCGTGGTTTCAGGCATGGAGTTCACTCCTGGAGCTTGACATTTGATTTAGAGACCCGCAAAGAGATAGCCCAGAGGAACAAACCCAAAGTATGGCCTGAGGAGTGTTTGCTTTGGAAACTGAGGACTGGCATATCTAGACCCCCAAATATAGATAGAAAGAAACGTAAATCACCACGAAGAATGTTTTGAAAAGCGTGCCACTATCTATTTGGGGACCACTATTTAGAATATTGAACATGTTCAGAAATTGGATGAAACACAAGGCCACCTGGTACATCCTGGTACCACCTGCGTTTCTTTCTGTCACGCTTTTCAATTAAAGTTGCAGTGTCCATTCGGACGCGGTGTCTCAAACACAGGGTGGTCCCCTGTAGAAATTGAACAGCGGTATCCATCCAACATCCCACAAAAAAAAGGGAGTCCAAGAATACAGAATACGCTGGTCGCAGCTGGAAAGATGGTAGGTGTCTTGTTGGAGTCGGTGGGGGTTGGAGTCGTGGGAGTGGTGGCTTATTTCGTCTTCGCCGACCTTTTGACGTGACCGACCTTGATATCCCTGTTGTTCTGCCACGACCTCATGAGACTGTTGATGGACAAAATCCTGCACCACTTTGCGCACACTTTTCTTGCTGCCCTCGTTCTCCCTCGTTAACATTGGGGCCACCACAGTGAGAAAACAGAAAGAAGTTAAAGGTCCAAAATCCTGCACCACCTCCTCAGAGGGGTCGTGCCAACATTGAATGAGGGGTCACGGAGGTTGCTATGCGACCCTTCCAGGGTAAAGTGGTGAGGTGGTGCAGGATTTTGTCCATCAACAGTAGGAATCCATCAGAAGTCGGTCGGTCACCTGAAGCGATTTCGGTCAGGATCAACCAAGACGAAGCATTCCATGCAGTCCTGAAATCAGTCCTGAAACCATCGTGACGTGGAACATGACATGGATGAGCATGAATTCCAAGAACATCAAACAATCAGGACTTTACAAAGTTGTGGCTTAAGCTGACATCAGTCAGGAGAAGCTGACATCAGTCAGGTGGTTTTACAAAGTTTACACTCACAGCTTCTCCATGAGATTTCAGGCTGAGACAGGTTCGCTGACCGCCGCGTCATGTTCGCCCTAAGCAATTACGTGGGGTCGCTCCTGACACCTCTTCTGAGGTTCAAAGGCATTACCTCCGACTTATTCCCTGGAGTGGTTCTTCCAGAGCCCGACTTCGGAGCCTTGACCTCCAAGTTGGAGCAGTGCCTCGGACCGCGGACCGGTCGGTCAGATCACGGACCCGGGTGGGGGTGGCCGGAGGACGGTGCTGTGTCTGGTGGGGTGTGGTTGGTGTGAAGGCGGTCTAGTTTGGGGTATAGGGCCAGTGGCTAAGTGAGGTGTCACTGAATGACACGAGACTTGCATGGATAGGACCTTTTGTAGGTGAGCATAGGTGACTGAGGATGGTCTTCCCGGATTTGTTTGGGGTGTCAGTCGAACGGGTTTCCGGTTTCAAGTCAATTTCACAGATGGGGCCAAAAGGGAGGGCGAGGAATGAAGACTTGTTGCTTGCGGTTTGCGACCATAGCTGCATTAAAGATGACATAAGATGACCATTGCATGCAGTTCTTCTGACTTTGGCTGGCCACTCCCCTACACTGCCGGATCCTGTTTGTTTGTCGTCTTTCTTTGTCGTCCAACTCTGGTGAGGCATTTGCAAGCAGAGCATTGTCAGCCACACCCCTACTTCATCGAAAAGATCATCCAGTGCCTTGAAAGAACGAGCAAGGACGCCTGGGCCCCTGCGAATCACCTGTAACTAATTAGAAGCCTGTAACAAGTTGGTCATTGAACGTTACTAAGAGCAAGGACGCACGCTAAGTACCCCTGAACACTTCGGGAGAACGAGGGACTCCGGACCCGTGGACGGTCGGAGGAGGCCGACGTTCGCTCAGCTCACTCCGAAACGGGGGGGCCCGGGCGGAAGAGCGAAGGCCCAATCGGAGGCGCTGAAACGGACGTGTGAAAGGGACTCGAAGAACATGGTTCTATGATGTTCTATGTTCTAATATGGTTCTAAGTTCTAATGGGCCTTCTTTTGCTGGTCATGCAGTACATAGTGGAACACCCCTAGCCTGATCATGCGAGTCGATGAGCAATTTAACATTCCCTAGGGCCAAGTGCCTCCTCAGAAGGTATTTGGACCCTCCAAACCCACCCCAGTCCCACCTTCTCAGAAGGTACGACTGGAGGCCTAGGGTAAATGCTTCTACATGGATTTCCGAATGATGAGACCTAAAGGTGGTGCTTGACCTGGGGTCCATGGGGCTGCATCTCTTCCAGTTTGGGATGAGGCCTCGGTCGCGCCGTCACCGTGACCTGCCTCTTTCCGTCGTCGTCCGACTCGTCCGACTCGTCCGAGGTTCTATGAGTGTCACATCGTGCGGCACAGCGTGATGCTCGTGGGCCTCACGGCGGACGGGACGCGGTCGGGGACACGGTGGACGACGTGGACGACGGGGCGGACCGACACCGATGAAGGCCGTTCAGGGGGATGCAGAGGATCCGGAAAATATTGGTATTCTTGGAGAACCATGGAGAACCCTATAGTGCCCTAATGATCTAGATTCTAAAGGACTCCACTAGTGGAGTCTCAGGATCGCAGGCTTTTCAGATCCAGGCTCAGTATCGTGGCTGTCAAGAACGTGCTTGTTCCCAACTAGCTCTCTCAAGGTCTTTGCTTGTTGGGAGACAAGCGATTGCCACAGATGGACAACCCTTCCCGGTGAAAGAGCTTTGCGTCCTCCAGCATATAGGCGTTTGCGTGGAAAATGAAGCACCTCAAAGGTACGATAGGCAACCCATGAGACGAGTTGAGTGCAACAAAACAACGCGGGCTGAACTGCCGGAGACGGAGATGTATACATCATGTGTGACCTCATAAGTTTGACGGTTAAGACATAAAACTCCTTAGTTCAGTTGAATGAAATATGCACTACTTGAGTCAGATAACCAGGACCCATTGGAGCCACCTGTAACTTGTGTATCTATATGAATATTTTTTTTGAACATGGTGGTGGACTCACCAGAGGGAACTTCCCAGTTCTCGCCGTGTCCATCTGGGTGGGCGTAGGGCATCGCCCGAGGTATGCCCTTCAGTGGCAAGACCACCGCTCTGACCTGCTTGCAACGGACCCTAACAGACCTGGCCAACGAGGGCATCATGCACGCGGGCTGCGCCGTGCATCAGGCGTGAGATGAAAGCAAGCGGTGGTATATTCTACATAGAAGCTGAAGATGTAGGCTTTTTGAGGATATTCAGAGAGTACTGTAGACGGTTGATTCATAGAACTCCCGCATCATCCTCATATGGGAGGTGAATTATACATATAATCAACAGCTTATCCACATACCTTCTCAGGAGGTACTTGGGCCCTCCAAGCCTACATAAATAGTCTCCAATCACCTTCTCAGAAGGTACTTGGATCGCTAGGGAGTGAGGCTCGGTCAGACCAACAACAGACGCTACACCTCCAAGTACCTCCTCAGAAGGTATTTGGACCCTCCTGGCACCCACCCTAGTCCCACCTTCTCAGAAGGAACGACTGGAGCCCAAACGGGTTATACATAATCAGTTTAATGTTACGTTTGCTGATCTGGTGTTTGAACTGGTCCATCGGTCCATCCCACCCGTTCCGAGAACAAACCTCTGGTGAACAGGCGGAAGTTCTCGTGGATTGTTCCATTTCGACAGCCCCCACCAACCACTAGACTGGTCCAGTGGTTTGTGACGTTGGACCGTTGGACAATATATGCTTTCCTTAGAGTTACATATTCATCAAACCCAGAAGTTCAAAACCTGTTTTTGCTTCCTCGACTTTAAAACCTTTTTTTAAGACCTTTTTGTTTAAACCTTTTAACACCTATGGCTCTCTTCTTTAAAACATTTTTTTGCTTCCTCCACCGACTTGCTACCTCGTCCACAGAACACCGTCTCGCTCCCAGGCGCGCTTGAACCCCAAGAGCATCCCAGCACCGTGCCTCTATGGAACCTTCGACGAGGTGTCCAAGGCTCCGCACCCAGCGCTGCGGGAATGGGCGGGATGAGGTGATTGAATCGGTCAAGAGGCTTCATGAGAGGAGGCATGAATGGAGGGCGTTGGAATGCAAGTAGAGACGAGGCAAAAACAAAGTCCAGTCCACCTCATTTTCAGTAACTGGCGCAAGAATACAAGAAGCCTTTCCAGAAACATTGAGACCTCAGGACCTTTGTTGGTGTTGGTTGTGCCTTGCAAAGAGAACCCCTCCTCCGAGACTGTGTCATTCTTGGGCACGAGGAGTGGGCGGATGGAATTGTGGCTGTGCTCTTTCGTGAGTTTGGACGCAGCTGAACTGCGCTCAAGGGCGTTTTTCTTTGGGCGATGGGGTGGATGAATGGATTTCAACTTTCACTGACACGCAGTGCCAAGTGCCCGAAGCCTCTCAGAGACGGCGACTTTGGAACTATTACAGGACATTATCCTCGAAAGGCAGTTTCAGGGTGCTGTCCAGGCCCTATATGAGGCAGCCTTCTTCTTGGGCGAGTGTCATTAACTTCAAGACCGGTCACCAGAACCTCTCCAACAAGTGCCACACCAGTCCTATATACATATTAACCCTACACCTCCAAGTACCTCCTCGGAAGGTATTTGGACCCTCCAAACCCACGTCCCACCTTCTCAGAAGGTACGACTGGAGGCCTAGGGGAAGGACTCTGACTAAGCCACCAAAACGTGGGGAGAGTTCTCCCGCCACCGTGGCGAATCCTCTGCCGCCTGCCACGACAGTTACCGGCCAGCCTGCTCGACCGGCGATGATTCGACGGACTGAGGCAACATGACCGAGGAGCGAAAGTGGTTGGTCTTCGATGGCCCCATTGACGCTGTGTGGATCGAGAACATGAACACCGTGATGGATGAGAACAAGCAAATTGGTGATCAGCTGGGGTGGAGAGGTGGTCATCCAGTTCTGAAGGGGCTAGGGGCTAGTGGATGATGTCCATATGATGTCCGTATGTCAAACTTTAACCCTTCATGTTGAGGACCAGTTGGACTGTAAGACCATCCAATTTGTAAAGGTGCACAAGGAAGTTCGGATCGTCAACCGACCACCTGGCTCAACCCACTCATTTGGCTCAAAGAACCCTGCAAAAAGGCCTACCCCGGCCTGCCACTCCTGACCTGTCGCTTGTTCTGGTGCGGTCAGCGCCCACCGTTTCACTCCAGAAACGCGCCGCTTTCCCAGCGTTTGGAAGAGCACCATGTCGTTGGAGCTCTTTGCCTTGCTTCTCTTTGGCGCCCTGCTGCGCAGTCTGCTACGCATGCTCTCCGCATGTGCGTGCGTGCCCGTGGCGTTGAGGAGTGGTGGAGAGATGGGACTTGGAGCTGGGGCGACGCTCCAAGCGTCTCCCAAACCAATGCGTTTGATATGAGGGAGACCCCCAAATCAATTCGTTTGAGTCCGCTTCCTTTTTGTACTAAGGGAGTTCATGCGGTTCTTTCACTCGCCTCTCTGGACCCCCCCCCCCACCATCAGGAGTCAAAGCCCACATCACCTCTTCAGTGCGTCGAAGTCGGGATGTGATGAAGCGGCATCTATATATGGAAAAAAAAATTAAAGAACAAATTGGAACATATGACACCCAAACAACCCCTGGCCTGATCGGCTAAATCGATGACAGGTCTTTCGGTCTTTCCGTCGAACGCCAAGTTGTCTTTCCACGGCAAGTCATCACAGGAGTGGGGCGGAACACCTGAAGTTCGCCGCCGCTTTGCCGCCCTTCTTGGCGCTCCTTTGTGCAGAGAGGTGGCTTCAACAAGCTTTGGAGACTGAGGAGACGGTGAACAAGGTGACAGGGTCCGCAGAGTGAGGACGTCACAAATGAGGATTTGAGGCTTAGCATGGCTTAGCCCTTGATACACATAGACCCTTGAGTTTGGTAGGTTCCCACTGTCCATGTAGGTTCCCACTTACAATTGATGACCCTAATCTGAGTAACCAGTCACTCGTCCCATGGGTTTGGGACTTCATCATCCAACTCATCCAACTTTCTCACGCCCAGCTTTGGTGCTTTCGCACTTTGGTCGGAGGGTGTGTTCAGAAAGGCGGACTGGATTTCGTGAACTGGTCCTCAAAGTGTTGTAAAGGGGTGTTGTTTGCAGTAGCTCCGTTGGGGGTGGCGTTATACATGGTGAACTGATACAGTTAGGGACTGGCAGTGAGAATCTTAGAACATATGCACGACTTAAAATCCATGTTTTAGAGTTGGCTTCCCTGGTGTAAGTTCCAAGAGACGCCTGGAATCTTCAAGGCATTTGATGGATAGCGCATCTTTCAAAACCCTTGGGCCAGGTCCTTATCGGCCTATGTGCCATCATCGCTTTGGTGTGTGGCTTCTTCCTCGCGCGGCTGAGCCTCCTTCCGGCCGCTTCCGTGTGCACAGGAGTCCCGGTCTTCAAGAGCCAGTTGGCAGCCAGTGCTCCAGCGCCAGATCCAAGTGAGTCGGCACCAGCAGTTTGTGCGGCTGATCAAATTCCCACACCTGCGTCTGATGAAGAAAGCACCAGCAAGCAAGTTCTGGTGCCAGCTTCCGAGCCTGAATCCGCTCGAATGCCTCCACCGCACACACCTGAAGCACCGGTTGTGCATCATGTGCACTGTGCTTCTTCCTATGATGGCCTTGTGCTTCGCTTTGCCATTTTTGTGGGCGTCACCAAGTATGAGCTTTGCCAGGGTCCCGCTTCAAGCTATGACGTCGTCTTCCCAGCAGAGAACCGTCTGGGTAGCACATGCGTTGGACGAGTGGATCAAGCAAAGCTCGAGGACTATCAGGATTCCCCACTCTTGAAGATCATGAAGGTGTCTTGCCAGCGACTCTAGAAACACCAAGCCAAAAAAGCTTTCAGCCCACTGACCATGTGGCAGATCCAAGAGTTTTCCGACCACCAAAAAAGCACCGCATTCCGATGCCCTGTTCTTTTCGGGCAGGAACAACATCTAGTGGAGAGGAACTATGTACATCTATTTAAAAAGGAAAGCGACAGCTATAGAGGTAGATCTATCGATATTGTCATCGCCTAGGTTGTTGGGCCCTGTTTCTCAGACACCATGTGGTTCACATATTTTTTGTCATCCCCTGTAAAACAAAAACCTCCTGCAGCGCTCCTGGTCATGCGTGCCTCACTGCTCTCACATGCATGCCTTCCCTATTTGCCTCGACTTGCGGAGCACCGCAGATCACGGATCAGTCCATCTTTGGGCGTGCGATTCACTCGATGAAGCCTTCCAGATCCCATCAGCTCGTGGGGCAGACTGCGCGCACACGTGAGGACATCGCCCAGTGGATTGTAGCGCCTGGGTAGTAGATGGAGTGGGCTGGGCAGATGGAGTGGGCTGACGGACTGGTTCTTGTTTTTTTGGGGGTGTGAATTCCCTAAACCTCCTGGCCTACCTCCGTTTCGAAGATGGGCCAGGGGTGGGTGGATTTGGGGTCGATTACCACTGAAGCTGAGGATATGGTTGGAGCTCTAGGGATACTGAAGTCTGAGGCGTTCAGTGCACCAAGGGGTTTGGAAAGAAACTTCTGGGGGCCCGGCCCCGTCACAGGAGACCCCGCATGAGTCAGCGTGCTGAAGTGTTGGCAGATTCTAGAGAGACCTACAGCAATTGACAGAAAGCTTGAAACAGTCACCGCGCACAGCACCAGCACCTTGATGATTTTACGCTTTACTGGGATCTAACCCCGCTCGCGTGTGACCTTGCAAGTCACCAGGTGCCCAGGTGGTCTATTGTGCTCTAGCCGCTAGCTGCACAAAGAATGAACAACAAAAGCCCCATAGAAGACCCTCACAATTCTCTTCATTTGGCCTTATGTCAGTGAGTTATTGTGATATGTGTAGCCATGTGTCGTTCAATTATTCACCTCATATTCACCCCATGTATCAAGAGATGTAGGGAGATATGACAAGGTTTGATGCTTTGGCCCGTGCCCTTTTGTGAGATGCTGGCATCATCTGGCATCCGAGGCTTACGTCAGCCAGACTCCTCAGCTTCTATTAGAATGATTTTGGTGAGTCTCACAGTGGACAGCCCTCCAACCGCCAAAATTAGCTGAGTGGCTCAGTAACTTGTTTATTGTGAGACACCACACCTTTTAAAAGGTTGCTTGGCTTGATTCTGCCTCCATGAAGTCCAGGATGGCAGCAGTTCTTTTCCTTCCCCCCCAACCAGCAATCTGATGTCCCTTCCGAAAGGGTCACATGCATGACCGATCAGACGTGTTTTCCACGGTCTGGTTGGAATGAGATCTCCAATCCAGATCTCCACCTTTGGCTAGAGTTCCCCCCATGAATGTCACTGACAAGCAACTGTATTCATGGGTCATGATGGTTTTCAGCACCTTCCCAGCCAACCCCCGCAGCGGTCGAACTGTGGGAACTGTGCGTGCACGAGACTCTGAGTCGTTGAGGAACCCATACCCTCGAAAGAACAGCCAGAAACACTTCAAGGAGAGCTTGCTGGCGTTTCTGACAGAATGAGCTGGGACCGCGCCGTTGCGAAGGCGCGGAAGTTGTCGGAAGCTTCCTAGACATTTACGCACCCCATGCATATTACGATATAACCTACCTTCTACATCCATGTACACTTGAGGAACACATTTACCAAGTTCAGAAGCACAGCATTGAGGACTGAACACGGATCATTGGCTATTGGTGGTGGTGTTGCATTGCTTAGGACATCACATCCATCAAAAAGAACACACACACATTTGGAAAGACTCGAAGCACTCACTTCAGAATGATCCTCTCTTACCTGCGCACCAGGTCAGACCGATGTGAAGATAAGAGTGGTCCTCCTCGCTTCGTCTTGGGTCGCGAGTGGAGTGCAGATGACCCAAATGCGGCCTTGGAGGCAATTGATATTGAGTTGTGTGCCATTGGTCGTAAGTTGGAGGATTAATCTATCAAGTTGGAGGCCCTTGTTCTGCAGATAGCGACAGCTATTGGGTGGATTTTGCTTCTACTATATAAAGAGTTTTTGGGGGGTTTGGCCAGGATCGCAGATGAACGGAGGATCAACCAAGAACTCATCAAGGATCGGTGCATACATACCGGATCATACCGGCATTCGGAGATCTAGTTGGTGCTTCATGAGGGCAACGCCATATCCCACGCTAAAAAATTGCCAAAGCCCACCTAAGATCCTCTCGTTCTCCTGTAGCCCCCCTGAATGTTAGCCGAAGTTTGGCTTCTTTTCAGCCCGGCATTTCTACGGCGCGGCAGTCCAGCACAAGCATCTGGGCAGGCAGTGATGCCGGCCGTTGACCCGGTTTGTAGGAGTTTTGGGAACAGCGGTGACTGACGTGGTGACCGGATTACATGGTCACTGCCTCCCAGCCGCAGTGCACTGAGAGCCCACCTGGGTAGGCGCCAGTGGCGCAAAAAGGTTCGCCTTCGGCGACTGCGGAGGACTGCGGAGGGTCCAAGTGGTGAAAGTGACTGCGGAGGACTGATGCGGACTCCAACGAGACACCATGCTTTCCAAGGGATGACTGTTTTGGTGGGAGCCATGCTTTGGAAGTCATGCGGTCTTTTGCGGATGTTCGCCTGAAAGATGCTTTGGGATTCCCAGATTTCATGCACTCACGTCCCAGCTCAATCAAAATGATCATTGGAAGAAAGAGTGATATTTTTTGGGGAGGTAGGGGCCTGGGCAGTCATGCAACATGTCGTTCGCATGGGCGTCCAGCAACACCTGGCCTTCCGCCTTCCGCCTTCCAGCCGATTCCTGCCGCAGACGGCCTGATGCTCCAAACATCGGATGTTCCCCATCCCTACACCTCCAGTCGTACCTCCTCAGGTTCGGTATGACTGGACCCGAACATGGCACCCACCCCAGTCCCACCTTCGAAACGAAGGTACGACTGGAGGTCTAGGGCATGTATGCAGACACTCCAAACGGATCCCATGTACCGTCTTCCGTTTTCGTACCGAGACACTGAGACGGATCTGTAGGTGCCAGGTTCGGGTCCAGCCGTACATTCTGAGGTTCGGTACGACTGGATCCCTAGGGTATAGATGCATGCATCTCATATGATATTTGCCTTCAATTGGGGTGGTTGGCCACGTGTCAATGGGGCGGCATACATTCCAGTCCCATCGGTCGTGCTTGGGAAATCCTTCGACAAAGCCCGCAGAATCACGGAAGAAGTCTCGTCTCTTTGACCCCACTGAGGAAGTTGTGCTTGAACAGTGGCGAGATCATTGCCATGTCTCATGGCGCAAGAGCAGTGGAAGGAGGTATGTCTGTCCACCTAAAATCTGTGTGCACTAACAATAGGTGATGACTTTCATGAACTTCCTGCACTTCTGGAAGTGAAAGTCATCCACCCTGATAGCTAAGAAGATGGGACTGTGACGAAGACTGGGACTGGGAAGGCTGGGCTGCCTTCGATTGGGGATTGGGGACCGGGTTGGGCGCTTCCAACATCTTCCAACAGAACGTAGGCCACTGGTGGTCATCAGACAAGGTACTTTCTGACGGGGCCCAGGTTGAGTTTTAGTCATTGGCTGAGGATATGAAAGGAATCCATTGCAGAGCCACCAGCAGGAGCGATCATTTCAGGTCAACATTCACATCCAGGATCACTGAGTCGGAATTGAGTACTGTTTATCCACAGTCCTTTGGGACCTTGGGAATGCGCGTTTGGTCTTCGCCCTGCCATGGGCCATGAGTGACATGCCAACCTATGTCCAGTCCTATGTCTAACCAGTCCGTCTTCGGTCCGTCTGACCGACCACGATCCTCACAAGGTCGCCCAACATGCGAACCATCATGGAGCCGATGGATGTGAACGAGGCCAGTGCCGGCTCGATCGATCGATCATTGAGCGAACCAAGTAGACGAGGCAAAAAAGCACGGCAGGCCCTCCGGGCGGCGCAGCTCGGGCCTGACCACGGGGGTCAGGGTACCCTGGTCATTCAATGTCAATCGATCTATACGCTTAGCTAGGTGGAATCGTCATAGCTAGGTGGAACCCCTTGAAGCTTCCAAGATGACTCCAAATAGTGTAGTTCCAGATTCTGAGAGGATCTGCCGCTTCGTTCGACCAAGTGCCAAAACGGGAGAGCCAAGCTGCCAGAAGTTCGCTTCATTCTCACCACATCTAAGTCACGAAAGCTAGCATGCTAGCTGAGTTATTCTTTGCTTTAGCAATGTTGTGGTGGGAGGGGCTGCGTGCCTTAAAGATTGATATATCAAGCTAACCCCCCCCCCC